TTATATATATATATATATATATATATACTGAGAAGGCCTGTAGGTAAATCATGCATTCATTAAACTCTCTCAGTTACATCTTTATTAAGATATTGTATGTATGTCAGATGTTGGCCTAAGACCCGGTTATATGTCCTGTATTTAAGGCCTATTAAACTCTCTCAGTTACATCTCTGTATTTATATATTTTTATTCGTGAAATAATATTTCCAATACACAGATAGAGTGACTGAGAGCATGGTGTGAGGGAGACAGAAACGGAGACGGAGAGTATACTTATCATAAAACACCATAAACTTCATAACATCAATAATATAGTCTAACTCTAACATGTTATGCTTTCAGTGATCATATCTACCTTGATAGCTAAGTATTCAGCCTCCCTCTTACACTTTCTCATAAAATGCAAAATTTCATATGTAATAATTACATTATCCATCAAGTGACAACCACACATGAAAGCATTTTGAAATGGAGAAACATATATGTTTAATAAAGGTTTTAATTGATTAGATAAAATCTTTGAAATAATTTTATAAATAACATTATAAAAAACCTATGATAGAAGAAGTATCATTTTTCTTTGAAATTAAGGCAACAAAAGTATATATGGTTAAAACATATAAAAAATTTATTATTTGCAAAAAAATCCTAAACACAATTATCAATTTCCTCTTTCATATCATCCAAAAAAGTCTTCGAGTCCATTTGGTTCGCAGTTGGAATCGGAGTTGGAATGGTCCATTTTTATAGTCTGTTTGATTTAGACAAGAATGAGAATAAGAATTAGAATCAACAGAAATGGAATTTCATTCCCAAAGGAATGGTAGGAAATGACCATTCCCTCAAATTAAGAAATGACATTTCAGCAAAATGAGAATAAAATTCCACTCAACCAAAATTAGAATCGGAATAACCCATTCCGATTCAGATTCCATACCCCTATTCCTGATAACCAAAATTAGAATCGGAATAACCCATCCTCTGCATCGTGGTTGCAGAAGAAAAAAAAAAAAAAACTGCAACCTCGAATAACAATCCACCACGTCACGTGTTGTAACGGAGGGATGGAAATGTCATAGTTAATGGCCGTTTTAGCCTAAAATAAATAGTTTATTATTTTATAAAAATTTGAACACCCGCCGGTCCTGCCCAGTCGAGTCTTTTTGTTTTTTCTTCTTCTTCCCTACCGGTCTCTCCCTCTCTCTCTTCCCCATTTTTTTCTTCTTCCTCTTCCTCCGAATCGGCAAACTAAACACTCAGACCGGACCACGGCTTGCTCAAAGGAAGCCGTTGCAACCACCGGTGAACCACCAAAGCCACTGCGACCACCTCTGAAAACGTGAATCTCTGCGGATTTTTTTCCTCGCTAACATCATTTTTCCATTGTATTCTGTTCTCACTCTGAGCAATTAGTTAAAACCTTCTTAAAAAAGTTCTCGTTGCCGATTACCATTGATGATGAAGAACCCAAAAAGAGTGATTGAATGCATATGCGAGCTATCATTGTGAGAACTAAAACGCATATATATATATATATATATATATATATATATATATATATATATATATATATATATATATATATATATATATATATATATCTGCACATCAAATATTTTTGAGGATACCCTCCGTTCTCTTTCACCCCAATGCTCGTCGCTCGAACCACTACAACCACAACCCGCCGACAGCTTGAGGACCAACGTCTCTCTCTCTCTCTCTCTCTCTCTCTCTCTCTCCCCTTTATTCTTATCTCCCTTGCCTCTCTCTCTCTCTCTCTCTCTCCCCTCCGTTCTCCTTTATTCAGGTTACTGTTTTGTTCAACAAGAAGCTTTTGAAGCAGAGCCGAGAGACACTCTAATAACGATTACTTTTGAAGAGATCAAGGATGGAGTTCTGTCATTTTGGAATTAGATTGCCTTCTGTTGTTCCTCAGTCATGTCTTCCTATTTTAGATAATATCAAATAGTTATGTGACAGTTGAGAAAAGTTCCTTGTGTTTATGAAAAGAGCAGCATGTAAGTTTTCCCATTTAGTGGCTCAATTTCTTGCTTCGGCCTATTTTGTTTTATTCTATCACATGCTGCTTTGCCAGAGAAGGAGAACGAAGGAGGGGAGAGAAAATGACTTGGAAAGTTTGGAGAAAATGAAGGCGGTGGGTTGCCAATTTGGAGGAAAAGGGAAGAGGTGGCCCAGTTGGAGTGTTGGGTTGCCCATTTGGACGAAGAGGGAAGAAGAAGAAAAAACAAAAAGGAGAGAGATACCGATAAAAATTGTGTGTACCAGTGGCACAACCATCCCCTGTGAACGGTGGAACAAGGATAGTTCAGAGCAGAGGAGGCATGGCGAGCCAGAGTCAGAGAAAGAAAGAGGGGAATCTAATAATGATAAAAAGGTTTGGCGGGTATTCAGTCAAAACGGCTGTTAAATATTCCTTTCCACCGTTCCATTACGTTAAATGACATGGTGGTCTGCAACCACGATGCAGACGATGTGAGCTCAACAAACAGGGCCTTATATACAAAAGAAGGCACACCATGCATCAGGTCAGGAGCCTGAGATTTCCAGTCTTATATAAAATCTTTAAAATAATTCATAGATTCCCCAATACGATTTGAATAAATACCAGGGTCTCTGTTAGTGCAAGCCCGTTTTTGTACTAAAGAAAAATAAAATATTTAAAAGATAATCTAAAATGATTTGCTTTTTTAATTTAAAATTTTTAATTAAGCAAGTGGAATGGTTGAACTGGATGGCTGGACCATTTGACCCGAGACCCAGTGGCAAAAGACGGTCTCAGCTCGTCCAGATTCGATAGGATGTTGAGCAAAGATCCCTTTAAAACGGAAATCGGTTCAATTCCTCTAGAACTTCATACAGGGAAATGAAATCATTTCTTTAAAGTTTGTGGGCAAGACACTTTTGAGTTTTGACTGAACCATACAGGCAAGAGAAATCGTTTCTTTGCAATAAGATATGTTTATGCTCAAACAGCAAACCTGTTTAACATGTTTTGAACATTTTCTTTTGAGGAGTCAGCAATGCGTGTTTGCTACAGGGCTGCAAATGGGTCGTATCAGAGCAGATATTGATCCAAACTTGATCCTTAACATTGAAGCCAAATTTGTTTGTTCCTCCTAGATTGGACTCACATCAATTAAACTGAAAATTATCAGAGAATGGTAATTGACATATGTTATCAATGAAATGAACTAAAAAGAGAATATAGTGAACAGACAACATTCAAACAAGATCATATATTCAATTGTTTGCTATTGGATTTGGATCGATCAATTATCGAATGATCGAATTTGCATCTCTTTTCTGCGGTTGGGTTCTCTCTCTCTCTCATATATATATATATATATATATATATATATATATATATATATATATATATATATATATATATCATTTGCAGCCCTGATAATTCTACAACCAAAAGTGAAAACTAATAAATCATTAATTACTTAGGAGTAGGACTTCCACGGATCACTGTCTTCACACAACAGAACCCCAGTGGGCTCTTCTCAGCTCCTTCTAAAACAGTAGCAGATGAAGAAGACTGCGACGAACACTGGAACTGGATATCCCCCGGGGACAAGGACGACGACTCGCCCCATGACCGTTTAACGGGGAAGGAAACATTCCTGAAGGGAGAACACCCACCGGAGCATCCACCTCTGGACCTTGATTTATGCAGGGCGCAGCTGCAGTTCTGGTGGTATGGCCTTCGCTCGATCTCCATGTCGTACATGGAGATACACCCTTCAAAGACGCATCGAACCAGTCCTCCTACAGCACCACTGGCCATTTCCTCTCTCTCTCTCTCTGTGTCTCCTTCTGTCAAGGAGACTCTAAACTAAAGAGGGTAGGACCATATAGAGAGTAATATGGACAAACAAAGTTAAGAGAGACGTAAACTTTTGGCTTGGACGAAATGTAAAGTTGGGGGGTGAAGCAACTTCTTTTGACCAACTTAGTAGTGAGCTTGATTGATTGTCGTTGGAATAGTAGCTTATCTAACTTGAGTCCATTCATAATATACCGACAAAAGAAGAAGGAACCAAGTAATTGTTCGGATCAGTACGACTGACCTGAACCGATTTACCATATTAGCACTTGAAATGATTGCCTGATGTGCTAACGTTGTATATATGTATGCATGTTCTCATGCATGCTCGATTGTCAAATTTGGGTTGTCACCACTCTCCAATAAGCCCGATTAATAATAAGGTTAGTTTTGAGACCATTTAATGGAGACATACTAGGGTCTAATTGTTTCCTGATCAGTTCTGGATCGGGTTTACCTGACCCAGACCACATCAAACCCATACGTACCTAATGGCCAAGTTGGGCCAGATTAGGTTGGATTGAGAACAACTCTAACCCAACCTGAGGTATTGAACCCCCAACCCTAACCCAGTTTGAAATGGGTTATTGAGTATTTATTTTTTTCTTATGAACTAATTAATAAATTTGTGTTAATATTTCTCAATTTTGTTAAGATTATAAATTATAACTACTTTCTTTTTATATTTTTAGAATGAAATATGAATAAAGAATAAAGTGAATTTGACATTATAAAAAATGGTGAAGAGTGAAAATCCCAGTGAATGGGCGCGGCATCCCCGCCCCACCCCCTTGCCATTCCTAATAAATACCACTCACAAACATAGAATGAATTGCAATAAATAAATAATTTTTTTTTTATTATTTTTGCACTGTCAATGTCTAGAAGAATAAAATCAAATTGCCTTCAATCAGATAGTTGCAAAAACAAAGAACTTGGCTTCAAAATAAATTATAAAGAACTAGGATCCAATTATCTTATTCCAGACATCTCCCATTCACTAGTGAAAAACACATATATCTTAACTACCGTTGAGAAACCAGCCGGTGCTTGGAATTCTTTCAAAGACGAGTTTTGAAGCTAAAACGTTTTCAAGCTTGTCAAACTTGACAGCGAAAAGGAAAAAAGAAAAAGCAAAGAACTAGCCTATCATTCCACTAAATTGTATGAAACGCATTTTAAATTATAGAAGCACGAAAAGAAACTTTATTAACGTAACATTTTTTTTCTTCAAATTTTAACTATCATAGGTTGTAGTTTGGTTTAAGACAATAGGAAAGATTAGAAAGTTGAGAGAAATTCCTTACGAGTTGCACATAATTCTTTGAAGAATATTCCCTCAATTTTCTGACTATTGCACCATGGGGGCCATGACTCCCGTGGCTCCACCCCTATTGAGAGGGGTGCCTGCCTAACATCTCCCCAGGGGGGAGAGTGTACATCATAATTTGTGATAATGGGGGTACGTGTTCGTGTTGCCCCTACCCAATCAATCTGGCTCAGTTTGAAAAGAGTACAAATGTAAATATGTACAATATAAATATATACAAAATAATATAAAATATAAGGTTTCGCATTCTATATATTTACATTTATACTCCTTCCAAACTAAACCTATTATAAATTGTTCTCACTGGTGTGATGATGCTAAAATTGATTTTGTATCCTTAATATGCTCTCCCATATTGGATGTATACTTGGAGATTCCCTTTTCCTTTTTGTGAAATATGCTTGAATTCCATGGCCTATTTAAGTTGCAGCAAATGGTCTCATTAGTCTTCTTCGAGTTGGTTCTTCTTCGGTTCTTCCCCAGATTGGCTGATAGTAGACAAACCAGATCTCCTATTAATCACATTCTGCTCCTTTCCTATTAATCCAATCATATGATTACAACTGCCCCATGCTTGTATGACATCTCTCCCTCTCTAGCATTTTCCATTTCCTTTTTTTTTTTCTTTTTGGTCTTTGTAAAGAGTATGCTAAATGTCACGATGAGGTAGGGGCTCTGTCCTGCATTCATTACAAAGCAAAAATATCAGAAACAATGCTTGCAAACGAATCAGAAGCAAATCCATACTCTGTTCAGCAGTCATTGTGGGGAAACACTAATAGGATCCGTTCTGAAACACTTATAGGCGCTCCGTAATGAAACAATTATAGGCTCCGTTTGCTTTTTGATAGGTTATTTGGATAAATGTATTTATCTAGGTATGTAAATTTATTTTATTTCTCAAATAAATAAATCAATAATCATTTTAGCTATAAAAGTCCATAATTAAAAGGGATATTTTTTTTATGGATGAGTGAGCAAGAAAAAGGGGCATTTTAGCCATAAAAGCCTATTGCAATTTTCTCCATGTGAAAAAGTTATTTATCCACCTGGGAGTAGCGGTGAGCTAGAAAAACCAAAAAACTGAATTGAACCGAAAAATTAGTTAATCGAATTGGTTGGTTTGGTATTTTAAAAAAAACCGAAGTACAGGTTCAGTTTCAGTTAACCAATATAGAAAACCTATGGTTAACCGGAACCGATCGATATACATATATTTCTATATATTTTATGTATATATATATATATATATATATATATATATATATTATTTTCTTATATTATAAATTAATAAATATGCATTATATATATAAATATACATAATATATTATTTATTATTTAAAATATAATATTTTATATATTTCTAGTTTTCTATTATATATTTATACATTTTTTTGTAATATATATTGTAAATTTAAAAAACCAAAAAATCGACGAACTGAACCAACAATTAACTAAACCGGTCAACCGGTTAACCGATCGGCTTCGATTTAGTTTCGGTTACCAGTTTTTCAGAAACCAATCATACCAGTTTGGTTTCAAAATTAGGCCCACGGTTCAGTTAAGCACCCCTACGTGCGAGAAGAATATACCTAAGAAAATAAATTTTTCTTGGTCCCCACATAAATCTGAAAAAAAAATATAGGTTTCTTGGTCAAGGATTCTATTAACCAACTTTCCCCCCTCTCAAAATCCATAAAAATGAACGCCCCTTAGAGGCCCAGTTTGGATTTGCTGCAATAACAGAGGCAATAATTCCAAACAAAGCAGAAAAAAAAGATCCTTTAGCAGCTATTGTGAAGAATCACTTTGACTAATTCAGTCGGTCCGAATCCAATAAGGATTCATTGGATTTTCATGTTCAAATTTGAATTCATATATCTTATTGGATATCCATTCAATTAGAATTGTAATAAAAAAAATTTACGATATAATATAAATAATATATATATATATATATAATATAACATATAATATTTCATAACTAATGGGTCAGATCGGATTGGATAAGAGTATATTCGAATTTGATTTATTAACTAAATGAACCATTTTTTCCGATCCAATCCGATCTATAAGGATCAAGGGAAGTATCCGAATCCACGGATTTGAGTTAGATCTGATCCAACTTATTTGCAGCTGAGAGAGATAGAGATGGTGGTTGAAATAACATGAGGATTTCTGTTATAATTTTTATTTTGCTTCAAGGGCTACACAATGGGGGTAGTCCATCCCCAAATCCATAACCACCCCCAACTCAGGTGCAGGCAGGATTCGATCCCAATTTCTGTTATGAATTATGAACAAAAACTTAAGAATAGAGAAGTGATGAAGATGATAGAAGGGTGGAGATTAGGGTTGTCAATGGGTTGGGTCTGAGGCGGACCCAAATCAATTGGACCAGTTCTGGTTCCATGAGCTAAAACCAACGGGTTGGTTTTGGGTCCTAATATAGCATCCAGATTACTATCGGTTTGGAATCAGTTTCACCTAATGCCAAATTGGTTCAAACCCAACCTGATATTATATATCTATATATTATAATAGGGTCTGTTATGGGCACACCATCCGACAGCGCACTGCGGAGTAGTCATAGGCAGCAGCATGCACGGCAGGCCGCATAGCAGCAGGCACCGCCTAGCAACGCCGCACAGCAGCACGCACCGATAGCGCGCAACGCGCACCGCCAGGCAGCAGTGCGCACCGCACGCACCGCGCACC